AAATACGAAAAATGCTAATCGCACTATTATCGTGCCACATTTATAACATCTTAGATACATTAAAACCACTTGTTGTTAACACAGTTTTCCTTCCCTTAATCAGAAGAATGGATTTTCATCCGCAGATCAAGTGGAATGCATCTATTCGAATAGCAGGAAGCATAGTGTATCAGCAGTACCATTATTTTCTTTTGTAGCAGAGCAGTAGGTGGTTTTTGTTGGGTGGAAAAGCCTCAAATCTTAATCAAGAGATATTATTGTGTTCTAAAGCTAAACATTTCCAGTCCAGTTTCTTGGGTTTCAAAGTTTTCCAGATGAAGTTAAGCATTTTAAAATGCCACTGATTTCAGAAGGCGATTCAAAGGCTTACTTCATCTCTCTCACAAAATTCTTTTGCAATCAGTGACATTTTGAGACAACTTTGCCTGGACTATAGCATTTTTGTTGCATATATGCTTTGTTGTTTATTTGCTTTTTGGACTCTTAAAGTGATTGTATTCATTTTTGAAAATCACAAAAGTTTGTTCGCTTTTATGATGAAAGATCTGTCAGGTATTAAACTGGATTGCTGATATTCATATGAATGACGTCCTATAGCTTTTACATTACAAGAAGTGCAAGAATCGCAGCAACAGCAGCCTCTTTCTGCACTACAGATTCTTAAAGAGCCAATGAGATGTTATACCATAGTGCCTTCTAAGCCTTAGGAGTCTCCACTTCCATCCCCACTACTTCAAGCGTAAAGTTCTCTGAGAAGGTCATATTCTCTCATCCCGATCAATTTCAGTCATGTAGATTGCCCTGAGATAGCTCAAAGAAGGCCACAATTAAAAAAAAATGACTGCTCCCATTGTGTTTGCTTATAGATTTGGCATTATTTATGCAAATACAATATAAAGGCAGTGCATAAATAAGCAAAATGTGGATCAATGTAATATCTGTTGTTGCTATGTGCCACCCAGTTACTCCTGACACATGGCAACTCTGAAGAATTGGTGACCTCTAAAGCATATGGTCAAAGCAAATCAACATTCTACAAGGTAAATCTAAAAGTGGCAGCAGCCCAAAGAAAAAAATTATAAATCTCAAACTGGACTGTGGATCAGCACCAAATTTGGCACAAATGTAGCAGAGAGTCTGGTCTTGCTCTGTGTTCTCCAGTTTGGGGAAGTTGGGGCAAAGGATTGAGGTACGATTTTTTAAAAAAACAGTGAAGCTTTTTCTACCTTGCATGCAGAAACAAGCAACCTTAAAACATTCCCAGATTTAAAATAGCTCATATAAATTGAAAAGAAATTGTTTACCATGAAAATAGCTCATACAAATTGAAAAGACCAATATTGTTTACCCTGGAAGAGAATGGTTAGTTCCACCTGCTTTTTTTATTTGGAAAGAATCCAGGCTTTAGGAGCTGAGGTATTTCCTTTCAAAAGGATGAAACAGTGACTTCGTTATAAACTGAGCATGCAAGGAACAGGCTTCATGGTCTGAAAAGGGAGATGACTCAGGGGCAATAAAAGGTCACAGATGCAGACAACGGATTGTATTTGAAGAGTAAAAAAATCAACAGGCTTACTTTAAAGAAAGGAATGGAGCGACTGTCCTCTAGAAAGGTGGATATTTTACCTTGTATCTCCAGGGAATTAGCATACAATTTGACGAGGCATATTGAAAGTATATGTGCATTGCAAAAGCACTGAGCAATTGTGTTTGCTGCAGCCCAGAGAGCTTTCAGTAAACATCCTCTTAGGATTTCTGAGACCAGGCTCTTGACATTAGTCTTCAAAGAGGAAATCAGCTCCAGGTCTAGGGGAACCTGCACTTTTGACCCTGTACTGACTCTGTTAGCTGACTCTCAGAAGAATTTTTTAATTCTCTTTTGGCCAAACACATTGGAAAAGGGATACTTGTCTAGTTGTAAAAGTATTCTAAAATATATATTTAAAAGAATAGAGAACAGATATCTAGAGGCTCGCTCATTTAAGCTGCCAAATTTCTGTTTTTTTGCTTTGTAGGTGGAAACATTGCTACTTTGTGCTATCAGAACTTTATTCCCTATATCCTGGCATAGTTTCAATCAATCCACCCATCTTATCACTATACGATTATATGGAAATCAAGAAAAAAAATCCAAAGATGTTATGTGTCATCAAATAACTTCCAATTATGGTGGCTATATGAGAATGACCTAAAAATGTCATTTCGTTAACTGCTCTGCTCAGATTTTTTATAAAAACAACTGCATCAAATATTAAGTTGTTCTCTTTTCCTATTCCCGTCACCTTCCTAGCAGTATTGTTATTTAGAGTAACTTCTGCTCAGGTCTTGCAAACTAACAGCTTTGGATTCCTTTCTTGAGTCAACCCATCTCATTACCTTGTCTTCTTTTTCTACTTTACCTCCAAACCACTTTTCCCAGCAATATTGTCTTTTTTGGTCAGTTCTGTATTTCCATTATATGTTCATGCTAGGATAGGCTCAGTTGATTCATGTTTGCTCTAGTGAGAGTTTATGCTTAACTTGATTGAGCACCCCCTTTTCTGCCTATCTGTATTATGTATAAAGCACTCCTCCAACATCACATTTCAAAGGACTTGATTTTTTTTCTTGTCTTTCTTGCCTGTCTTTTTTTTCACATAATATGGATGATTTTGAGCTAGGTTTCCAGGAACGATTTTTACTAACTCCCAGCTCTCCCTTTAAAAAAACCTCCCTGAGGTTTGAAAAGAGTTTCCTTTCTTTCATATAATATGGATGATTTTGAGCTAGGCTTCCAGAAACAATTTTTACTGACTCCCAGCTCTCCCTTAAAAAAAAACAAACCTCCCTGAGGTTTGAAAAGAGTTTGGAAATCTGAACATAACTTTGTAGTCTGCATTCTGCAGAGTGGGCATGACAACATTAATTATCTGAATGATAAAAGATTTGTATGTTTCTCCATTGTATGTATTGCACTCATTCACAGTTTTGCTTCACCATTTCATTAAGTCCAAAACAGTCCTTAAAAATATTTTGGCGGAGAAGAACTACAGCCACATTCCACCTGTTCTCGCTTCTCTTCTCTCCCCTCATTCATAAAACAGATTATGTGTTCATCTTCTGATATCGTCTTTTACTGAGTAATTTCACATAAGGGAAGTTCCTGTTGGAAAATGTATGTAGTGTATGTATATTTAAACTCCCGTTTTTAAAAGCCAGTTTTAAAAAATAATCCAGTTTATGAATGTAGAATATTGTGCTTCGGTATTCATGATTCGAAACACCAGGAAACGGCCCAATGTTGCTGCACAGTATCGTTGCCAGCAAGAAAAATGATACCAAGCTTAGCAAAGGGCAGCCTGAATGTTGACAACATCAATGGCAACAGTAACTATGGTCTACCGGATACCCATGTCTGCTCACTATCATTCACATTTGTTGAAAAACAGCCCTGACAATTGCTTTATGTTTAGGTGAGCAGTAAATAACTGATTTAAAAAAAGGAGTCAGCTTCTGGAATTGTCCCTTGCATGGTGTCACTTTGTGACTGGCAGTGAGCAGAAGAGGGCATCCTGTTGACCATCTTGACTGCTGCCATTGGTGCTGTCAACATTCAGGCTGCCCTTTGCTGTATAAAGGGCATTCTATTTCTTGTTTGCAGATTTTGAATTGTGGATACAGAAGCACAATATTTCACATTCATAAACCAAATATTTTTTCAAAGAATTAAATATTTCTAATAAATAAGCACAAGACAAAGCAACATTTTAATTCAGTATTAGATTCAAAAGGAAGTGTGTAATGAAAGAAGATGAATAATATAAAGTTTAATCTCTTCTGTGCTGTTCTGTTTTGGATTCCTGCTAAATACCAGTTTTAAGAGGAAAATTTGACTGCTATTTCAAAGACTATACATCCTGCAATAAAATTTAAATCTAATGTTGTTTTGACACGAGGTTGAAATCTGTTAACATATAGCGTATGTTAACAGATACAATGTGGCACCTCAAAATAAACATGTCTCAGTTTATCTTCTGGTTATATTATGTGACAAGTAAATAATGCCAAACTCAGGAAAGAGCTGTTATTTAAAACACTTTGGTTTGCCATTTTTCAGATTTGAAATATATAGCTCATTTTCATTCATGATTTGACTAACGCTAACCTATTGTTGTGGAGAAAAATTGTATATAAAGCACACAGGTTTTAAATCTTTCTTACAACAATTCTTTCTTGTAGCTGTGCTGCTGCATTTTGACAGTCATCTGTATGCATAGTTACAGTGGGATTGTAGCTGAAATAATTTTAGATTTAGAGCTCCCCCAACCAACATCTCATATGTACTACTTTGTAGAACAGAAAGAATAGTAACTCTTAATAAGACTGTATAAACAAGAAAGGCCATCTGTCTATAAATGATCCTATCCCATGGCTCATTCAAAGGCTATTTATATGTATAGATTGTAGGACTATAGTGCTTATGGACATAATTGATGAATTTCCAGCCAATGAAACTTCTTACAAAATATCTCTCTGGAGGTTAGCGTGAGAGCAGCAGGCTAGGTTTATAAGAAGGTGGGGCTATGCCCTTTGTGATCAACTTATATATTTGTCAACAAACGCAGACTTACAGATGTTGAGTCTCTACACATCTCTTCTAAACAGACAGTACTGCTGCCTTTGGAGTTTCTTAGCACCCTGGGAAGGATGGGACAATATCACGGCAAGGGTCTTTTGTAGTACATTTATTTACAAATGCAGAGAGTTTATGGAATGCCTATTCTGTTGTAAACAAATTAGAAGATGCATGTTTGTAAAAGGTCTGGATTGCTCCTAAAGTATAAATGTAATATATATTTATATAGGCTTAGATACACAGTGTTGCAAACCAATGTGTTTGTGCAACTATCACTCTTCTGTTCATAGGCAGGTTTTCAGCACACACATTGTAACATGAGTTAGTATTAAGTTGCACCCACATTTTATGTGTTCCATTATAATGTATGCAATTTTCATTACAGGCACGTGTGAACCCAATCAATGTCACACCACCAATACAAGCTATAGATCAGGACCGAAATATCCAGCCTCCTTCTGATCGGCCAGGGATCCTCTATTCCATCCTAGTTGGTTGGTATTTGATAGTCTTGCTATCTTTTTCATGAAAATTGTATTAGCAGCAGGCAGGCAAAGATTAAATGTGCCGTGGAAACCTAATAACTAGTTTACATGGAGTCTAATGTAACAGTTGGCATCATTTTAGGCAAATATTTTATTTCAGACTTTAGTAATTATCATCATCATCTGAGAAATCACACCATCAGAGTTACAAAAAAATGGCTGTATTAGGAACAGCATACATATTGTGCTGATATTTAACAGATACTTAGGTTTTTGGTTAAAACTTGTATCTGTTATATAATACCAGTCAATGTTTTTATAATTTTGACTGTGCCTGGTGTTTGATGATGATGATTAGGAAGATTGATGGAAAGCATGATCATAATTCAACATGGTCATGGCTAAAACTGGGGACCCTTAAGAAAGAAACCGAAGGCTTGATCTTTGGTGCATAAGAACAACCACTCCAAACAAGTGTGATGAAAGCTAAGATCCAAGGAATTAGTGCTAAAAGCAAATGTTGACTGCCAAGAAAAAGATGAAACTATGTCACACCTCATCTGCGAATGTCCAAAGATTGCACAAACAGATTACAAAGTTAGACATTATAAAGTAGCAAAGTTAATGCACTGGTCATTATGCAAATAATATAACTTGCCAGCCTCCAAAAACCCATGGGAATATCAGATAGAGAAGGTGTCAGAAAATGAGAAAGTCAAGATCTTGTGGAATTTCCGGATCCAAACTGATAGATACCTTGAACATAACACACCAGACATAG